TCAATGACTGTAAGTGTCTAACCTTTGTTGAATCCTGCCCCCTTGGGGCATTGTAGTGTCCACTATACCCCCTGATTATGCCTGTTATGTTCCCAGTATTGTTCCCTCATTAAAAGGTATATGGTTAAGTCCCCAGTGGTGGTCTGGCTCTGCTCTATAGGGGGAGAAGAGTCCCTACACCTCCTACAGCGCTTGTGCACCCGCTTTGATCCCTTCAATTGGAGAGGGGGGTACCTTTTGGAGTACCGCCCGGGTTACATAACCAAAACACGATAACAGTTATAGACTTTTCTTCACTGAATAAAATGGTTTAATTTGTAGGTTTTCACTCTTTTAAAATATCTAACTAGTAGGACATACTATGTTACTGGCATTGGTCTGAGGGAGTCAATAAATAACATTAAGAAGCTGGGACTCCGTAACTGCCATATTAATGCTCTAATTGTCATTGACAGATCAATTACATTGAAACTTGTCCCCTCACTTTTAAGTTTGAGCAAAGTTGTCAGAGAAGAGTGTCATTTGCATCTGTTTTGCAAGCCATGATTTTACTGCTGTTTTAATTCTGAGGAAGTGATGTGGTGGTTATAATTTTTCCCATCTATGTAAAATAGAGGCATTGTGTCATGAATCAGGGATGTCTAAAATAGAAAATAACTCTTTAAAGAGAGAACAATATACTTAAAAAAATGTTAATGACAATTTGTTTGCTCTGGCCCTTGGTTGCATACACCTGAAAAGTACAGGGACTCACTTTTTAGATTCCAGGACATGGCTCCATGTGGTTCCATCAAGATCAGAGAGGTGTTAGTTGAGGATTATACTAGGTAACCTTGGTAGATAAGTTGTCCACATGGTTCCCCACTATCCCAGGAAATAGGAGTTCCTGCAAGTAAATGCAGCCCTCAGTTAATTAAGAAATCTCAGTGCTGCAAGAGCAAGTAACTGCAAGAGCAGGTAAATGGCTGGGAACTAATTTATTTTATAACCCACAAAGGGGCTTTTTGACTTAACATCTTGTATATCATACAACTAACTTGTTTGTCCAGTCAAGAGGTACCGGCCAACTTCTTGGTCTGCCAAGACTGTTGATAGATGCACCTTAGTGATGAAGGGATTTAGGAACTTTCACTCTCACAAACTGATCCTATAATTGTTGTATTGCTTTGAAGTGGTATTTTTAGGTGCTAATGTAGGATATTGGGGGGTGAGTTTATGGGCGCGTCCACACGTGCAAGCATGTGCGCTTGCAGCAGCTCAAATAGAAGGGGTGCAAATTGCCTCAGCGCACATGCTCAGACATGTACTTTGTTTTGGAGTAAATTGTGCCACTTGGGACAAAATAACCCTGCCTGCCTCCTCCATGGGAGCTAGAGCCTGGAGCCAGCACCTGTGCTGTCCCCAGCAGTAAAGAAAACTGCCCTGTCCTGGCCCCAGCAATATAAAAAGCCACCCTGGCAAGTAGCTCAGGGCTACTAGCTCTCAGGAGCTTCTGGGGCCCAGCCAATTGGTACCTGAAACACTACCCCTTGTGCCAGCTGGACTGCTGAAGCAGCCCTGAGAGCTCCTTGCACCCTCTACCCACTGCAGCGGTCTGGCAGTGGGGGGTGCTGG